GGGCGAGGTCGAAATTACGCGTTGGCGATTACAGGTTTATGATAGCGAGTTACGGCAAAGCGACCTATTATCCTTGTTTTGAACCTACCATACTCCTGTAGAAGTATTTCCACCGTTGCAGTTTTATTTAATATCAATTTCGAAGCCGACTAGGGTTGGCGCTTGGTTCGGTGCAGGCACAAAACACGCTTAGAGCCGCGAAATACAAATGCCGGTAGCAAGTGACGCAATTTGCAGACAAAACTTTTCTTCCACTTTACGAACGAACGAATCGACTCAAGGTTTCGGGACTTAGGTTAAAATGTAGACTAAAAGGTCCACTCTCGAAAACACACAAAACTTTGGGTGTTTTAACGGCGTTATAAGGAATTAGACTTCACATTGTGTTTCAATCGGGGATTCGGACACCGACAAAACGGCCATTTTTGTACCTTTCCGGCGCTATATGTGGTACAAGAAGTCAAACATTTTGACTGAATACATGTACATGCCTTTCTCTGAAGGTGTTTTGTTGTTACATAAGGGGTATTTGCTGATAGGAAGTCCGTGCAAGTGGTAATTGAGCTAAACATCTTTGATTTTAAAATTTCCACATTTTGACGAACCAACCCATTTAAAAGATCGACCAGATATTCAACCCTTCTTTCAAGAAATTATTCAATTTTGGGAATTTTAAAAAGGGAATGTTTTGCTTTTTTACCAACCTCTTTTTTCTGTGGACAAATGAATGGCTCAAGTCCGCACTAAAATTTGTCGGCAAGTCATCAAAAAATCAATTCCATGCAAGACGACTCATATAACGTGTCAACCAGGAACGCATGAACGCGACAAAATTTTTTGTCCACTGAGTAAAGCAGTTAAGTTGAGCGTATAAGGCACACTGCCAATCCAAGTGTGAGACATTTCGTCTCACGCTTACAAGTGTTAGCCACGTTTGTCTCACGCATGCAAGTGTGCCCGACAACGTTGTCTCACACTTGCAAGTGTGAGACACAGCTTGTCCCACACTTGTTGCCTATGCTCGCTCTGTGGTTCAATGCCACAGGTCCCACGCCTGCAAATGTAGGACAAACCGTCTCTCACTTGCAAGAGTGAGACAAACGTGGCTCACACATGTAACCGTGGGACAAAATGTCCCACACCTACAAAGGTGAGACTGTCTCACACTTGGATTGGCAGTGCAACGACAACTGATCATTGATCTTAATGTTCTTTCTTTCCAAATGATAAAGAAACTACGCCGAACCACTTACTGAGTTTCGAGGTATTTAATCTGTTAAATCTAAATCCTACACCTACTTTTAACTAAGAACTTTGCATATACCGTGTTTGGCGGCCATTTTATCACAACGCCCCCCCCCTCCCCCCCCGTTAAACTACTAGTAAGGTTTTCAGAGAGAGAGAGATTCCGGTTCCTCAGAGCGGCTTCCCGTGGCAGGTCATCACGGGCGCCTTCTGCCCCATCGCCATCTACACGCTGGTGGGGTGGATGATGGTGGCGCAGGCGTCGTGCAGCGCGCTGTATCGCTGCGCGGGCGTGGTGGTGGAGCGGGCACGCGGCGCTCCGGAGCTGCGCTGGTGCGCGCGCGTGCACGGCCACCTGTCCGACGTGAGCTACAGCCTGGACCGCCTCACCTCGGCCAACATGCTTATGCTCCTCTTCGCCATCCTCGTCCTGCCCATCCAGAGCACTTACGACGCCCTGCAGGGCCGCATCGACGCCTTCCTGCTGTCCTCCTTTTTCACCATCCTGGCCGTGTTCGTGCCGCTCTGTTTCGGCAGCCAGGTTGGAAATCTTGAGCAGAAAGTCAATCGAAGAGGCCACCGCACTCACGAAATCTTGTGTCCACTTTCAGCACCTGCAAGCCCTTGAAATCCAAAATCTTACCTGTGTTACAATTTCTTGTTTTAAACTGTGAAAAATAAAAAGTTGTCGGATTTTGTCCATATTGGGCTTGTTTTTGTTGTTTTGCCATGCAGAATGCAAAACGACATCAAGCGCATCGCTTTTCGTGAAAAAAAAAAAATTCCAATGCTTACGCATTGCACGGTGTTCCGGTTGTGGAAATCATTTTGAAATCTGTCATCTAAACGTGAATTACGTTAATTTTACCGTTATTTACGTAACTTTGAATTCTACGGGTATTTTTACATCCCCAAAAGTGATTCAGTTAACACAATGACCATCTCAGTCCATCTCACGATCTCGCGATTTACAGTGCTCATGTTCGTCAAACGAAAGTCATCCGCGTTCCGAAAACACCCCTCCCGAGTTTAAAAAGTTTGTCAAACCAACCGTCGTGCTGCTTACAGAATTGGGGAAAACATGAGAATAGAACCGCAGCCTTTAAAAGCAAGCCAAACAATCCAACCTCAGCAACAATGGAGGGGCAGTTTCAATGCGCGACTACTCGTTTTTTCAGCCTCACGATTTTCGAAAGGGCGCAGACGCCGAGAAAATTGATGCCAACCCCCGAAAACTAATTCATTGCGTCTTTTCTGTTACGAACTAATGACTAATGACAGACTTCGAAGATGTTTTAATGTCGGGTCACCGTGCAATGAGTGAGCATTGGCATTTTCGAATTTTACGGCGTTTTCATTTCTTTTTATCAGCGACTTTAAATTTTGACAGTTGGTACGATGGCACCGTGTCGTTGTCATAGAGATTTTTTCTTCATGTTTTACCCATTTTCTCAGAAGACAGACGATTTCTTGTCACTTTGATGAGGCAGGAGGTTTAGTTTTGAGGAGTGGCACATTTTTCCTTCGAAACGTTTCTGGAAAATGTAAACGGATAAGGGTGCTTGATTGTTGCAAATTTATGTTTAAGTCGTTTACGGAAAATTTCCACGATAAATTTTTTAGATTTTCTGGACTATTTATTGTATTATGAAAAGGGTTAATATGGCGGGAGCGAAATGTCCATTCTGGGGGGTCCGTAGAAGAAGAATTCTGAGCCGTCCCGAGCAATAGGGGTCCTCCTTCGTCGGAACCCCTAAAAATATTTTCCCTAAAGTCATAGGGGAAATGAATACGGAGTTCGAGTTTACATCAATTGACGCCTACGGAGTTTACATGTTGAAACAAATACCTGGGTTGCAGCCGTATTTGTTGAAACAGTAGCACGCGCATACACAGCTGACTAAAGGATCACCAAAGCACTGTTTTTATCCACATTTTGAAAGTTTGTCGCACAGGGGATACGTAGTGAACCGCTACTACGGCTAGGGTCTACGGCTCCCCTCATTGTCTTGTAGTTTTAGCTATGTTTAAAGGTACACTGTAAATCCAAAGGCAATACTTTAAGTACCTTTTTTGGCGATACAATTGAGTATCGCCAATATAGGGCCTTACAGAAAAGTATTGCTTTCAAAACGGCGATACACAAAAGTAATTTTGGCGATACTTGGGAGTATTGCCACGATTTAGCAATAAACGTCGAACAAATCAAGGGGACAAGACCTTGGTTTAATGCCGTGGTTTTGGCATTATCCAAAAGTATTGCCAAATTTTGGCGATACTTTTTTGTACCCAGGTGATTTTATTTTTAATAAAATTTTATAAAGGTTCTTATAAACATTTATAAATGTTTATTAACTTTTAATTAAAATGTACAAACTTGTATTAAAATTTATAAGGGATCCTGTATAAACCTTTATAAAACCCTGTATAAACTTTTATAAAACCCTTTATAAAACTTTATACACCCCTGTATAAAACTTAATACATGACCAATCGCTTCATTCAACCATATGCAGATTGCATATCGCTGTATATAATTATATACAGTCATGTATAAGATTTAATAAAGGTGTTTATAAAATTTTATAAAGATCTTTATAAAATGTTATGAAATTTTATTTTAAGATTTAATAAAGGTGTTTATAAAATTTTATAAAGATCTTTATAAAATGTTATGAAATTTTATACGAATGCCCTTATAAAAGCTTACTTTATCATATTAAACTCCAATAAATTTTTATAAGGACCTTTATTAAATTTAATAAAAAATAAAATCACCTGGGTATCGCCGTTCTAAAGGCATTACTTTTCCATAAGGCCGTTTCTTGACGATACTCATTTGTATCGCCAAAGAATGTACTTGAGCATCGCCGTTGCATTTGCAGTGTATCATCCATTGAAAAGGCTGAAGGCGCATCTGCCGCAGGGGCTGTCGGACGCGAGTGTCGAGGTGGGCCGGCGCGCGTACGCGGCCGAGTGGCCGGCCGAAGACGCCGCGGCCCGCGTCATGCGCTCCCTCATTATGGTGCGCGCCGCCAAGCCGGCCACCATCTCCTGCCGCGGCCTCGGCGTGCTCGGCCTGCCCGCCTGCGAGTCCGTCCTCAAGTCCTGGTTCTCCTACCTGCAGATGGTCCTCAACACCATGAAGAAGAAGTGACAGATGCGGGACGTTTGTTTTTGTATCCGCGCAGCAGTGGTATAGACATATGAATGAACTCATTTGTGTTAAATGTCAGGCTTTTTGAACCACGAACAAATACATAAAATAGTTTGGTCCTTTTGGCCCGTCCTGTGTGTTTATTTATTGACTGAGCGACAGCGAAGCCCGTTATTCCTGTGGGGTTAGGCCTGAACTTCTTGTTGCAAATTGCACACTCGAAAGGCTTTTTCCCTGTATGGGTGCGAAGATGCCTCATTTAGTCTTGGTCTTTATGGGCTAGGTGGCTCTTGGTACAGGTATGTTATGGCTAATGTCAGGACCCTGGCTATTCCTATCATTAGCCGGCTAATGTTAGGATTAACCAAGCCAAATGGCTAATGTCTTGCAGGCTTCTTAAAAGTCAACATTAGCCGGCTAATATCGACAGTAGCCGGCTAATGTGGGCGTAAATAGACATTAGCCGCTCGGGCTGGCTGAGTGGCTGGCTAATGTCAAATTTGGTGGGGTGGGGCAGGGGCGCGCCGCGGCAAGTACCATTGTAGGCGGCTACCTCGCACCCCGCCGCTGAGAATTGTTTGGGGAAAACTGGGCAAAAATGGCAACTCAAAATTATCCGGAGAAAGAGGCATTTTACAAGAAACTTGAGGCCAAAATAGAAAAAAAACGAATGGACAACGCACATTATTTTGATCAAGACCAATACAACAAATTCATCCGGGAAACGAAAGAAGCAGCTCTCCGACGCCACGGCACGCGGGACTTCAGGCGGCTCCACCGCTTCAACGTCATGGAGCTGGACGGAGAGGAGCGGCTCATCGTCCCAGTCAAGAAAATTGGGGACCAGCCGCGCTTCTACGCCCGCATTGACGAACTGTATGACATCATCAAGGAAGCACACAGCGACATGCACAAAGGAAAAGGGCGAATCATCGCGGCATGCAAGCCGAAGTGGAAGAACATCACACAGGAGGCCATCCTTCTCTTCCTCTCCCTGTGTCCCGGCTGCCTGACCAAGGTAAGGGCTCAGAAACGGGGTCTGACTGTCAAGCCGATGGTTTTCAAGCAAAGCAACGCCCGAGTTCAGGTCGACTTGATAGACATGCAATCTAGCCCGGATGGTCCTTACAAGTACATAATGAATGTGCAGGACCATCTTACAAAGTTTACCCACTTGCGACCTTTGGAAAGAAAAACACAAGAAAACGTGGCCAATGGATTGCTGGAAATATTTCTGTCGTTTGGTGCACCCCATGTTCTGCAAACAGATAATGGGCGAGAATTCACTAACCATGTCATTAAGTCACTATCTGAGACCTGGCCTGAACTGAAAATGGTACACGGAGCGCCTAGGCATTCCCAAAGCCAGGGCTCCGTGGAGAGATCGAATCAAGACGTTCAAGTGATGCTGAACCAGTGGATGGAGACGAACCAGACTACCCGTTGGGCCCTTGGACTAAACTTCGTGGCGAACCAAAAAAACCGATCGATTCATCAAGGCATAGGAAGAAGTCCCGCAGAAGCCATGTTCGGGCGTCCAATGGAGGTGGGGCTGACATCGAGATACCCCAGTGGCCTTGTCCAGCAGCTGGAAACGGAGGAAGAATTGGAGGAGTTCTTGGCCAACATTAAAATTCATGATGGAAAGAGACGTACAGGTATTACTTAAGTAGTCCCTCGGTCTAAAGTGCCTCACGTAGGTCCTTCTTAACACTTGCGTTCTAACAGGTGCCAGCTCCCGTACCAATCGTACTCCTGCCTCCACCCGATCAACCCCTGCCTCCACCCGATCAACCCCTGCCTCCACCCGATTGACTCGAGCATCCACCCGTCCATCGACTCGATTCGGTAGTCTCTACATTTTTTTTTTAACTTTATAGTATGTAGGGTATAGTTTATTCATCAGTAAAATATTACAGGTGCTACCCCCCCTACGAAGCGTGGTTCGCGTGCCAAGCCAGTAGTTCCCAGAGCCACCCCAACAACCCCTACCTCAACGCGCTCCACTCCCGCAACCAGCCGGCCCACCCCTTCATCCACCCAGCCTTCACCGTCCCAGCAGCGTTTAGGTAGTTCAGTTAGCGCTTGTTTTTCGACTATCTTCAAAGTTACTTTGAAACGCGATTTTCCCTCAGGAAAAAGCCCTTTCGGACGTGCTTCGCGGGCCTCAGTGACCTTCACGCCGACTTCCACGAGAGCTTACCCTGACACACCAATCTCAACGCCTCGATTCCGGGGTTTCGGGGTCATGGAGTCGCCGGATGAGTCTGAGGGTGGTGGTCCTGCTCCAAGGTGTGTGACGTGCGACCAGATATGCCCGATGGACACCTGTGCGACCTGCGCTCGACCGCTGCACGACACCTGCGCGGTTCGCGGGGCCTGCTCCCTCTGCGAGCGCAGCCACAACATCGCTGAACATCAATCAGCAGCGCGCCGCGGACTGGAGAAGCAGGCGGACAAAATGCTGAAGACATCCCAGCAGAAATTCCCGCCTGCCAAAGTCGGAGACACGGTGTCAATTCCGGTGCCAGAAGTCGACAGGGGCCGTGGTGACGCTCGGAGCGTGGTGGGAGTGATCATGGAGGTGAAGGATGGGCTGTACAAGGTCGGCACGAGGAGCGGGGTGCTGGAGCGTCACCTAAGCAGAAATATGTTTAGCGTCGCCAAGGAGCAGTTTCTGAAAATTGTTGATGTGCCTGACAAGAAGGTAGCCCTGCGCCGCATCGCCATACAAACCAGCACGACAGGTGGCGGCCAGGGCTACCAGAAATGTCAGTGCCTCACAGGATGCATCAATAACAGATGTGGATGCAGGAAGACAGGAGAGCTCTGCAAAAGCCACTGCCACCCCGGCCGCGGTTGTACCAGGGTTGGTTCGGCGAGATGTGGGAATTTGAGGCGCGGGATTTCCAAGATTTCAATGTGCGGCATTTCGGATGAAATTTTGCAGGCTCATTCAAGATGGCTCTAGAGTGGTCCCCAAGAAATATCAAAGCTTAATTCGTTCCAGTTTTGTTTCAAATGGCTTAAATGTTGAAAGCGTACTTTGGGTCGATGTTTATTACACGCGCGTCGACGTTTGTTACATTTGCGTCGACGTTTGTAACACGCGCGTCGACGTTTGTTACACGCGCGTCGACGTTCGTTACATTCAAGTGGTTTTGGGTGGAATTTCAAAGTGGACAAAACTGACATCTATTTATAGAAATCGATTCGTCTGATCAGGACAAACAAAAAATCCTAACATATGCAATAGGCTTGGATGCGAAACAAACAAGTATTTAAGCTTCAAAAGTGCAGTAACAGGCGTCGACGCCGGGGTCCTGGCTGATTACATCCGATTACATCATTACACTTTATAAATACCATCTATTTCGCAAGGAAATACCAAATTTGCTTGTACGTAACAGACGCTGTATGGTGTAAATATGTCAAATGAAGCGGCAAACATGACCTTGTCCCAGTATTTGAAAATGTTTATCCGGGCGAGGTCGAAATTACGCGTTGGCGATTACAGGTTTATGATAGCGAGTTACGGCAAAGCGACCTATTATCCTTGTTTTGAACCTACCATACTCCTGTAGAAGTATTTCCACCGTTGCAGTTTTTTTTTAATATCAATTTCGAAGCCGACTAGGGTTGGCGCTTGGTTCGGTGCAGGCACAAAACACGCTTAGAGCCGCGAAATACAAATGCCGGTAGCAAGTGACGCAATTTGCAGACAAAACTTTTCTTCCACTTTACGAACGAACGAATCGACTCAAGGTTTCGGGACTTAGGTTAAAATGTAGACTAAAAGGTCCACTCTCGAAAACACACAAAACTTTGGGTGTTTTAACGGCGTTATAAGGAATTAGACTTCACATTGTGTTTCAATCGGGGATTCGGACACCGACAAAACGGCCATTTTTGTACCTTTCCGGCGCTATATGTGGTACAAGAAGTCAAACATTTTGACTGAATACATGTACATGCCTTTCTCTGAAGGTGTTTTGTTGTTACATAGGGGTATTTGCTGATAGGAAGTCCGTGCAAGTGGTAATTGAGCTAAACATCTTTGATTTTAAAATTTCCACATTTTGACGAACCAATCCACCAACAAATAAAAGTTTGCCATTTTTGCCCCTTTATTTCCCCACTCAATTCCTCACCAAATTTGACATTAGCCAGCCACTCAGCCAGCCCGAGCGGCTAATGTCTATTTACGCCCACATTAGCCGGCTACTGTCGATATTAGCCGGCTAATGTTGACTTTTAAGAAGCCTGCAAGACATTAGCCATTTGGCTTGGTTAATCCTAACATTAGCCGGCTAATGATAGGAATAGCCGGGGTCCTGACATTAGCCATAACAGGTACACAAAAATACATTTTAGTGGAAATCCTTAACAATTGGTCGGATTCAAAAGAGATACCAGGCACTCCGGAACGTACTGCTCATTGGGAAGGAAAGTACGGGGTCCCAGCAGAGATAGATTTTCTTCTTTTATGGCCCAAGATCGTGCCGGGGGGAGCGACACGGCACTTTTGAGCGCTGCGTGCGGTAGCGAGGCCCAGCCCCCCACCACCGCCCCAGCCAGTGCCGGCCTGTTGTGAGCCTAGCTCACCTCTCAGAAAAACACTGATTTTGCACGTTATTTGGTGGCAAGTCAGTCTCATTTGTAGTTAGTTCCCTCGTTCATTTCGTTATCTCTCAGCACAGAAGACATTTTCTTTGAGCCAGAATCGCAGAGCACTTTTACTAATGCGAGCCGCTGCAACTGGCCGCGGCGCCGCGCCGCGTAGACGCTTCGCTTTAGCAATCGCTTTAGCCAAAGTGCTCAGCGGTTTTGGCACTAAGATAATTTCTTTTGTGCTTGATCGATTGATAACGAAATGAACGAGGGACCTGAATACAAACGACACTGACTTGCCGAGAAGCTAAATTACTGCTGAGAGCCGAAGTTGGGTTGGGGTACCTAACTCTTCACAAGGTAGGTGTACGCCAGACCGTGTCTTGTCGTAACAGGCTTCGCGATGCTACGTCAGTTCTGACAATCCACGCATGGCGTTAACACCTGGGCGGAGGCCTGCGCCGCTGGTCTGCCTTCGGCAGTCTCTCTCGCCATACATTGCCCCACTAAGAAACTTGATCGCACATCAAAGCAGGATTCGGTTCAAAGTATTATGCTGGGGGGCTACACCCCCCTTTCATTGCAAATCCGGTGGTAAGTTTACTTGCCACAAATTTGGCAAGCCGTTTTGAATGCCAAAATTTGGCAAGCTTGGCCCGGAAAGTCTTCCAAGCTTGCCAAAATTTGGCAAGCTTATGAATTTTTCCGACTAAAGCTTGCCAAAGTTTGGCATTCAAAACGGCTTGCCAAATTTGTGGCAAGTAAATTTACCACCAGATTTGCAGTGTTCATGTACGGGATGAGGGACATTCCATGTGAAGTCAACCAGGCATGCTCCAGGTCGAGCATACTATGTACGCTTTTGGATGTGTAGAGCATGACATTTGTGGTTTGACTCCCCTTAAATTCTGGCTAACTTTTGTCCCATAAGGTCTTGAACCAGGGTCGGATGTTGAAATGGATGCTTTTCTCATTTTCAGCACCCTCCAAAACAAATGAAATGATGTAAAACTTAACATGACAACATATGTCGGTAAAAAGTTATTATTTTTTGCCATTTTTGAAGCGTTTTTTGGCTGTAATGACCACATGTATTCAGATAGAAGGCCGAATTTTGGTGTTTTGGCGAGCCAAGGTTATGCCCAATGACCACCCTGCAAAATCTCAGCAGAATCGGCCGAGCCGTTTATGAGGAATAGTGTGGACACACAGACAGAGACATGAAAAACTTTTCAACCCCACTGGAGTAACAGGCTTCGCTATCGCTCAGCCAATTATTGAAACTTACTGCTTAGTTGATTTATGACTAGAGTTGGCCTAATCACCCTATTAGAAAGAATTTTTTAATGTCTCTGCCAGGCAGCATGTCACGCAGCATCGATCAATGAGGGTGCATATCTTAAAATGATTAGAGTCTCTTTGCAGAAATTCTGCGGAGAGAGAGAGAGGCACGTGAAATGGGGCCTACAAAAAAACAAACAATGAAATTACTACTCTATAACAACAACAAGATGCATTGGCAACATAATTCAGATATGTGTCCAAAAAAAGGAGACAAATATAATAGACACAGACACGCAGTATGTTATCTGTAGCACAGCATTGGCAAAGCAAGTGTGTCCAAGGTTGGCCATTCCCGCTCCGGGGCATCCAAATTTGGGCTGCCCATTGAGTTGGTTCAGCTGAAACAACACAACCTTGGCAACTGGCAGGACCACAGGGAATCCAGGGACCTCTAAACGCTGTCTCTTGTCAGGGGGTGAAGTCACTGCAGGTGAACACTGCCTCATGACAGGCCGCCAGACGGCAAGAAGAGAAAATAAAAACAAATTACAATAATTTCAAAACAAGCAGAAAATACTAGTAGCAGCATAGTAGTGTTATTAACATCTTGGAGCATAAAAGTTCTGGAGACGCAGCATTTGTGGCATCAGCAGGTGCAGTATCAACAGGCGCAGTATTAGCAGGAACCGCCACTTCGACCTCAGGGACGTCGGGATCATCAACATCCTCGTATAGCCCTGGATGAACAAGAAAAATTGAATGATTAATTTTGAC